ACGTGGATGTGAGTGTGAGTGTGTGTGTGTCTGAGTATTGTGTGAATGTCACCGGGAGAAGTAAGACTGAAAGAGGAAGCGACAGCCGGGACACAAGGCGCTTTGCTAGGCTCAGGGTTTGGGATTTACCCTGCAGGCAGGTGGAGTTTCTGAAGATGCTAAGTTGGAAAGTCCACCATCCCCTCACCCCCACCTCCACCTTTACCATCTCCTGGGCTCCATCACCAGCACGTACACAACCAGGGCACTCATTACAATAATTGTCTCCACAGAATGAGTTATTATAACGTTAATTATAATAGCACAATTAATTAGGGAGCAGCCTCTAAAGGACTGCCCACTGTATCCCGGGGAAGGAGCTGAGTGAGTGGAGCTGGGGGCCCAGCTGGGAGCCTGGTCTTTGCTCCCCTGCGCTCTTCTGCTCACCAGTAAAGTGATAAGGTCCACGTCAAAAATTATAGAGGAGGTGGGATGGTTTCTGACTCTAGGGATGAGACATGGCCCAGACTGAACTCAGATCGTTAATAATAAAATTTTGAAAATACCATTTTTGCAATTCAAGGTTTCTGCCTTCCTAACAGTGCAAATTGCTGCCTCATGGTAGAATAAATAGCGCCTAGCAGCTGACTGAGGAGCCTTTCCTCTATTATCTCACTTAACTAGTAAGAGAACTGCAATCTGGGACCGGAGAGAATCATGCTGAGTGAAACAAGCCAGGTGGGGAAAGACAAATACCATATGACCTCACCTATAAGTAGAACCTAATCCACAAAACAAACAAGCAAGCAAGTTGAAATAAAGAACAAACTGACAGCAACTAGAGGGGAGGGGAAAGGGGAAATGGGGAAAAGAAGAAGGGTCATTCAGGAATACGAATAAAGGACACATGGACAAAGCCAAAGGGGGCAGGATTGAGGGTTGGCGGTGGGGATGGGTGTGGTGGTGGGGAGTGATGAGGGGAATGGAGACCACTGTATGTGCACAACAATGGAAAAAAAATAACTACAACAACAGGTTTGTATTATTTCCTTGTTAGGATGAGAAACTTGGGCTCAGAGACATTCGAACACCATCTGTAGGCCTCACAGCTAGTAAGTGCTTTTTTTAGTAGCCCTGTATGCTTATATGACCTGGTGTCATTTTGAGAATCAGTGAGGTGGGGAACAGGTCTGAGACTGGGAGACGGGACCTGACCTGAGATTGCAGTGGAAAGGGGGAGCAGAAGGCCTTGCACGCTTCTGGAGGCACTCCGGTGCCCTCTTGTGGCAAGCTGCATCACAAGAAAAATGCTTAGTGTGCCTGAGTTCGGTGATCATTCACACAGGACTTGTCAACAGGCAAAAGGGCACAGAAGTGGGCAGTGGAGATGGGAAGGGAGAGGAAAGAAGGGAAGAAGGTAAAGAAGAGTCAGCTTGGTCCTAGGTACCTGTCAGCCTCTGCTGCTCACCTCTTTATAGAGAACCTGGCTCCTTCCCTTAATCCAGGGATGAGCAGCGGTTCTCCGGTGGGTGTGCACAGAGTCTCCAGGCAGCTTGAGAGTGCAGCCTCTGGCCTCCAGCTCCAGAACTTCTGTTTATTAGGTCTGAAGGGCTCAAGAGTCTGCATTTTAATTTTTTAAAAGGTTTTATTTATTTATTTTTAGAGAGGGGGAAAGGAGGGAGAAAAAGAGGGAGAGAATCATTGATGTGTAGTTGTCTTTTAAGTGCCCCCTACTGGGGACCTGGCCCATAACCCAGGCATGTGCTCTGACTGGGAATTGAACCAGAGACCCTTTGGTTTGCAGGCCAGCACTCAATCCACTGAGCTACACCAGCCGGGGCCCAGAGTCTGCATTTTTAAACCACATCCATGTGGTTCTTATGCAGGTGGCTCTTGAACCACACTGTCGAAAAGCCATACTATTTAATATAAATATTTGCTTAAAAAATGGTTGCTTCAGCAGTAAACTAAACACATAACTCCTAAACCATTCACTAAAAGGAATTCAGAAGAATTCACAGGTTACTGTCTTATTTCTGTTCTCACCGGATTAAAGATAAAAGATACAACTCTACAAAACATGCCCTCTCCATCCCCCAAACCAAGTTAGTGGCTTAATTCTCAAAGGGCAAAGTTAGAACATCTTAACAGAATTTAAATTCATAGTTCTGTCCCCTCAAAAGAGTGCATCCGAAACTTGGGTTCCTTGGACATGTGCTTCTAGAGATGTTAATAAGTGGCCACACAAAAAGCATCCTCTGATAGAGGAAGGATGAGGGAGTCATTAAATCATGCTGGCACTAAAGTCTTTGAGGAGCCTATGCCAAAGAGAGATGTTTAACTTTATTTGGTGGAGGTACCTGGATCTTGTTGAATCATGTGACTTTCTTATTTTTTTGGTTACGTGTTTATTAAGGTTCATGACAGACCAGTTTGGGAATTACTATCCTAGAACAGCAGGAACATAAATTACAGATTTTTTTCTGGGTTCTGAAAAAAATTCCTATAAGTGGGGAAGAATAGTCTTTTCAATCAGCGGTGCTGGGACAAGTGGATATTCACATGCGAGAGACTGAGGACCCTCCTCCCCTGGGTACATAAACCACCTCAAAATGGATCGAAGGCCTAAATAGAAAAGCTAAAACTATGTACCCCTTCAAGAAAAGCTTTCATTACCTTGGATTAAGCCATGGTTTTTTGTTTTAGATATGACACCAAAAGCACAAACAACAAAAGAGATAATGATATATTGGACTTCACCAAAATAAAAAAATTGTGTTTCAAAGAAACCACCAAGAAAGTGAAAAGACAACCCATAGAGTGGTAAAAAATATTTTCATATTATATACATGATAGGAACTTGTGTTGAGAGTGTGTAAAGAACTCTTATAACACAATAGTAAAAGAATGAATAACCTAATTTTTAAAATGGGCAAAAGATATAAATGGATATATCCCCAAAGGAAATACACAAATGGCCAAAAGGACATGGGAACATGCGCCGCAGCATGAGCCACTGAGAAAGTGCAATCAAAACCAGCAAGGACATCACCTCAAACCCACTAAGGTGGCTAGAATCAAAGAAGACATGATGTAACTGTTGAGGAAGAAGTGGAGAAGTCAGAATCATCATACACTCCTGTTGGTGGTCATGTAGAGCGACACAGTCATTTTGGAAAAGAGTCTGACGGTCCCCCCAAAGGTCAAACATATGGGTACCACATAACTTGGTAATTCCACTCCTGTGTCTATGAGGTCTGTCCAGAAGGTATGCAGCCATGTAACGTGAAAAATAGAAGCATTTACTGAAGAAGATGCAAGATACAAGAAACATTATACACAGGACAATGACGCCTCAGTCCCCTTCAAAGTAAGCACCTTGGGACCTCACACACTTCTCCCCATTGTCATCAGCTGCCCAGTCATATTTTCCTGAATCTCATCAACAGTTTGAAATCTCTTCCCTTTCAAAGGTGATTTGAGTTTTAGGAAAAGCCAGAAGTCACAGGGTGCCAAATCAGTTGAGTGATCAGATGTTCTGTCAAAAATCTCTGCACGAGTCGTGACACGTGAGTGGGTGCATTGTTGTGACGAAGCTGCTAATCACTAGTTGCCCACAGCTGTGGCGTTCTGAATCATCCTAATAATTGCCATGGAGTAATGTTCGAGCTTAATGCAAAATCTGATGCAGATTTGTAGCTCAGTCATTTTGAATGTGACAGCCACACAGTACATGGGCTCACTCAATGGCACTGACTAGTATGGTGATCATTGTTCACACGTGTGTGTTCCAGTCCACTTTCCCTGGCTGCCAGGTTACACTGATGCTGTGCAAACCATTCTCCTTATATTAACAATGGCTGGGCTTTTTTCCAGAGAGACCTCTTATATCAAATGAAATTAAAACACACAGAAACTTACAATAAATGTCCACAACAGCATTATCACAATAGCTAGAAAGTGGAAACAATCCAAATACCCATTTCCTGCAGAATGAATATAGAAAGCGTGGCGTAACAACACAACGGCATCTCACTCAGCAGTAAAAATGAATGAAGTACTACTGATCAGTGCTACACATAGTGAACCTTGAAGATGCTTTGCTAAGAAGCCAGTCACAAAGGGTTGCATATTACAGTATATGGGTTCATAGATCTGAAATGTCCAGAATAGGCAAACCTATGTAGACAGAAAGTAGGTGAGTGTGTACCTGAGGTTGAAGGGATGGGGAAATGGGGAGTGACTGTTGATGGGTATAGGGTTTTTTTGGCCAATGAATACAGAGTTTTCTCAGGGGCTGATGAAAATAATAAGTGGTAGGGTTAATATCACATTTTACGTTGAAACTACAGTTTTCTTAAAGAATATGAAAGCTATTAAAATTTATGCTAAAGATAAATTGAAGTTTTTTAGGGGAGAAATGAGCAACTCATTTATACTTTCCTTAAGTTATGCCAAACCATAATGAGACCCTTTCCCACCAGTATCAGCGGTAACTGTGGCCCCCACCCAAGCTCCTCTCTGAGTCACAGCGAGGTATCGGAAGGAGCTGGCCTTCCTTGCCCCGCCCTCCCGTTCCGGCCACACTGTATATAGACGACAATCTCTCTCCAGCACTCTGGTGGGTCCTTCTGACCCAGACTGACTCCTCAAGGAACAAGTGGTGGGGAAAGGAGGGGAGCCACCCCCTGTCCCTGTCCCATCCCTGGTCCCACCAGGCAGTTCACAGAGGGGTGGAGCTTGTTTCAACATCAGAACTTGCCTATTGTTTGCCCTCTTCCAGTTACAGGACCACTTGGCCCCTGTACTTGCTCTGCGCTTGCTCTGTGTTCTGTTTTTCTCCATCTCCTTGACCTCTTAGATGTTTACCTGGCCCAGCCTTCCTGACTGTAAGCCTTAACAGAGCTCTTTTTCTATTTGCCTACCTGCCGTCACTGCTTTTCCAGGCCTTCCATTTTCTGTCCGCACCCCGTGGCAGCCCGTCCCATACCTGCTCACGCAGCACACCTGCAGGTTCTTACCTGTAGCCATGAGCCTCCTTCAGGAAAACACTGCCCATAGGTCCAGGAGGATGGTGCCCGGTCTGAGAGTGGCTTGGGGGAGAGGTGCTGCTGACCACCTCACTGTTTCGCTCTTCCTTTCTGGGTCAAGGCCGCCCACTCAGCAGGCTTCTGGGGCCGATGCAAACCCTTGCCTTCTGTGCTGGATGTTTCCTGTTAGTGGTTTCCTTTCCCTTTATATAGTCTCCTTTGGGGCGCAGGACCAGGGCCCAACAACCCTGAGAAAGAGGCGCACTTCATTTTTGAGGGTCCTCTGTGCCTCCTGCGTACACCCCTCCTGCCTCCACCGGCCCAGTGCTTCCCGTTCCTCCTTACCCTGGGGCCTGAGGGCGGCCGCGGCTTAAAAGTTGGTGGGAGTGACTCTGATTGGAGGTGGGTCGAAGCCCAGTAAACAGCCACCACAGCTGTTTCCAACTCTGGCTGCACATTGGAATCACGCGGGGAGTTTGAAAAAGTACTGCTTCCCAGGCCCACTGCTGACTTAATTGGCCTCGGATAGGGCCTGGGCATCAGAATCAGGTGATTCTAATCCAGCCAGGCCTTCTGGATTAGAAGTGACTGGATTGTAAAGTGACTAAGCACCATTTTGCAATGATCTTGAAGTCTGGACTTTGATCCAGTAGTGTCTGCACAATCCAAGAGTTTGCTAGAAGCTCAGATTCTTGGCTCCACTCAGAGCTACCAAATCAAAGTCTTTGAAGTTGAGGCCCGGAGATCTGTGTTTTAATTTAATAAGCACTGTAGATGTTTCTTACCTACATAAGAGTTTGCAGACCGATGCATCCCTCCACGCAACAGAAGGGAGGACCGGTGGCACACCCGACTTCTCAGTCTACAGTGTGGTTCTCCCGGCGGGGCCCCTGGACCATCAGCATCATCTGGGAGCTTGTTAGAAATGAGTGTTCTCAGGCCCTGCTCCACACTGACTCAATCAGAAACTCTGGGGTGGGGGCCCAGCAATCTCTTACACAAGCTTTCTAGGGGATTCTGATGCATGCTCAAATTTGTACGCTACTGGTCTACCATTTACCTGCCTCACCTGAGACCATTACATGATTTGGGTCCCAACTGTGGAAATTCTGTGAGAAAAGGATGGTGGCAAAGGACGTTTGGAGACGGCTGAAGTTATTGCCCATAAAATGATGAGATGTGTGGGGACGGGTGGTGCGTCCATTCTGAAGGGTTCTTCCCCTCAACACTCTTCAGAGAATTTGTGTTGGGGGGAGGATCGGGCGGGAAGTCAGGGAAGCAGGATTCGGCCTGCGGGCCTGCCTGAGCGTTCCTGCCTGTTTTATGTGTGTGGTTGGGTGTGTGAAGCGGATCTCACGTTCCAGGCAGGGCGAGTGCAGGGGCTCCGTGGAGGGAGCGAGAATGCGGCTGGGAGGGTGTTTCAGCCAACCACTCAGTCCATCATTTCTTGGGGCTCCCGTGTGCCCACCCGTGGGCTAGTTCTATGAAGGAAAGAGACACAAACAACTGTGTGTGTGTGTGTGTAGCTACACTTACATACGGGGCAGGAAAAAGTAGGTTTACAGCTGTGAGTACACAAGCATGGAGTTTTATTCTTGTATTATTATTAATTATTGAGTTATTTCCATAGGAACAACTGTAAACCTACTTTTGCCCCACCCTGTATATCGGTATGTGTGTGTGAATGCACAAACCACACACAAGCACACACACGTGTGCACATCTGTGTATATAACATACATATATGCATGTGTGTGGGATTGCATGTGTGTTGTGTGGGTGTGTATATTACAACCACTGTCCTCACAGGACCTGCAGTCTAATTGGAGAGAAAAGACCCACGTCATGGAAACACAACAGCTGTGTGGTCCGCCCCAGGGTAGTATCTTTAAGGGGCCTCCGGGGAGTTCATCTTGAGGAAGTTTTCGTAGAACAACTGATGCTCTGCTCTGAAGAGGTAAGAGGAAGAAAGAGGATGGTTCAAATGGTGAAGTGAGGGGCACCTTTGGTGGACCCCCACATGGGTAGCCCGCCAGTTCTTTCCCGAACATCTTAAAGCTAAACAGGGGCTCTGATCTGACCCCTCTGGCCCTGGACACTTACATTGTAAAGAAAACCCCTGAGTTGATGCCCTGGCTCTGCTGGGCCTTTCTGGTTACTCTGACTGCCTGGGAACTGTGGGTAAGGAGGTGGGCTCCTCCATCCCTGCAGTGCCGATGGGCCCTGCAGCATGGGCCAGTCACATTCCCTGATCCTGTCCACACTGCTCCTAGGCAGGCGTGATCCTCATTCTGTGGGTGGTGAGCTGCAGGCTCCGAGAGATCAGCTTCCCGCCAGTAGTGACAGAGGAGAGCTGGACCTTCCTCTCCACCTCTGCTCGACTTGCTGGCGAGGTCTGATGGCTGCAGGAGGTTATGCGACTTCATTATTTTACTTAGGCCCTTGCTTTTCCTGAACTCAGTTTGTGTCCTATATCCTTTATGTTCAGGGATGTCTTTTTTCCCAACCTTTCCGTCATCTCAGCAACAGCTAAAAAGTTTCCCCTCATTTCCACATTTCAGCAGAGATTTTAAAACATTCTAAAAGCACAAATAAATACATATGTTCATTACCATTGTTACTCTAGGAATTCTAATTTGGAGGCAAAGGGCAGAACCTTTTTTTTTCCAGTATATAGAAAACACTTTGTAGTGTGGCCAGAATGCCTCCAAATGCTTGTGGAGGTGGAACGGGGCCCAGTGGGCTCCTGACGATGGACTCGGCCCCCACCTTGGGGTCACTGACACTGACGGCTGGGGCCCTGATCTGGCAGAGCAGGGCGTGCACTCTGCCCCGCCCACGTGAAGGTGTTTTGACAGAGTTGAGTTAGTCACGTGGCTTCATCACTGCAAATCATCTTCATCTGTCTCTGCAAAGCCCCTCTTGAATGTATGGATATGTGTCTGTCTTTTCATTTTTATACTCCACTCTCTTTTCCTCTTGGCATTTCCATGTACCTTTATTTGTGTGCTTGCAAAATGCCTATTGTTCTTTTGCATGTGCATGCATTTTTAATTTATGCAAATGGTATTGATTATAAACATCATTTTCTTATTTTCACCCCAGCACTAGGTTCTTAAGATCTACCCTCATGGCTACATGCATAATACTGAGGGTCTACCTGCTGGGTAGGACCCCGTGTGTCCCTCCACTTTGCCCCTGCCTTCTCCTGCAGTTCATCCCAAACACATGCTGCGGTGAACACCATGGCCCACCGTGCTGGGCCATGGCCCACCCTCCAGGTGGCCCACCGGGGACAGGGGTGATTCTGCCCCTGGGAGCCACATGTACTCTGGAGGGGAATTTCCAGGTTGCAGGGGCTGTTTATACTTATTCTGAGGACCTGTTCTCCACATGGCTGTACCAGTCAGCTTCCCACTAGCATAACGCATGGTCTAGTTTGTAAATGTCCTGTGGATGCTTGAAAAAAATGTGTTCTCTGCTTGTTCTTTTGCGGGGTGGGATGTGGAGTAGGAGGGCTTAGAATCCTAAATGTATGTAATAGCTCGCTCTTATTAATTCTATTGTTTAGATCCCTGATACCTGATCCTGTGTTGTTCTTTCGATGTATCAGTTTCTGTTTTTGGTCAAATCTTAGATACAATGATTGGTTGGTTTGTTACTCCCTGCAGTTCAGCCAACTGTTGCTTAATGCATTTTGAGGCTGACTGTTCAGCACGTGTGTGTTTATAATTATTATGTGCTCTTGCCCTATTGCTTGTTGACATCATTCTTTGTTCTTCAGTTTCCAAGCTATTATAGTTGATGCCCTAGTTTTATTTTAGTCCACATTTACTTAGTATATTTCACTACATCTTTGTATTTAAACATTTTCTGTCTTTCGGTCTCAAATGTGTTTATTGTAAACAGCAAATTGCTAGCTCTTTTTATAAAAGTACAACCCTTGCATCTCTGTTTTGCAGTGGTAAATTTAATAGTTAACCTTTTTTGGCATCAATTACTGTCATATTATGACTAGTTTCTGCCTTCCGTTTATTTATTTTAAAAATTCATTTAATTATTGTTCAAGTACAGTTTTCTGTTTTTTACTCCCATCCCAGCCCACCCCCCTATTTATTTTTTTACTTACTATCATTTTGGGTGACTTTCTAGAGTGCTTTTCTCCTCTTCATTGGTAAGAGAATATTCTTCTAGTTCAGAATTTGTGTTTCTTATTTTGTTCTCATGGTGGTTGCCCCTATCGCCCGTGTATATTCCTCCTTGTGGGCTTTTTAAACTTATCAGCTCTTGTACAAGCTAAGCATTCTAACAGGCTCTCCTGCTTCTTTTGCCTCTCTGCCCCTTCCAGCCATCATTCAATATTCCAGTTCTAGGTCATTATATGCATATTTCTTCTATTTCCCTCCTTTGGTCCTGATTAAAAAAATAAGCATTACCAAGGTACTTGGTCACCTACCGTATTCTCATGCCTCTTAGAGTATTTCCTAGATTTGTTTTCTTCTTATTTGTAGTTTTTTTAATGTAGGGCCCTGTGGGTAAATGTTCAGAGGTCCTTTTATGCCTGAGTACACTTTGGTGATTCTCTCAAATGCCTTTGTATGTGCTATGGCATCCCTCTAGGATTGCTGGATTGAATCTTCTGGCCCTGGTTTCTGGACTCTGGTTAGGAGTCCTGTAATTGTTCTCTTTTCCTCCTACCAAACTGGCTGGTCAGCGTTGTGCCAGTAAGCTGGCTATGTGGGGAAAGAGCCCAGATCTGTAGTTTGCCAATTACTGGGGTGTAAAGACTCCCACGATGGCCACTTTCAAACTCCCCACGGGATGTACCGAATGTGGCCTTGGGAGGGATGGGCCCGGGTGCACCACCGCTTCTTGGGAGCTGGTGTGAGTGGCCTCCCTCTCTCCTTTGTTGATGCCCAACTGAAGTGTTGGAATAGACTCCTGTGGTCATTGCACATTTTCTCACGTCGAATTATTTTGTCCCGTCTACTTCCACCTTGCTTGTTATCCTAGGCCAACTCAATTTGCTTTATAGGTGAGGATATTGAAATACTTAGAAGAGCTAAAGG